AAACTAAACAAGGCATCACAAATTTAGATTTTCAAATTGCTTTGTAATCTATTTTTGCAGATCTTTCCTCAAGACCATAAAACCTTTGAAAAGCTTCTTAAGTTTGGGAACCATCTTACCTGCTGTCTGTGATACACTGTGTCGTATAGTATACCACACTACAAAAGGCAGACCAAGACTGTTACAAACTACTGTCTTCAACTCCAAAAGCAAACCCACAAGGAACACCCCTGGAAGAAGAACCTCGGAGAACAAGCAGAAGGTCTAGTCTCCCAGTTCCTCTCTGCCCCCTCATACGCTGTGTGCCTTTGCGCAGATCACCTCACCTGTCTGTCCCTAGTTTTCCTCTCCTGGGCTTTGGGGTTTCTTTTATGCTGTAAACCTGCTTAAGAACACACCTTTCCCACTGAGAACACGAAGATTTCTTTCAAAGTCGGTATGACTACTCTGTATCACCACCAAACCTCTATCAATTCATCAAACCTCATTTTCTCTTGCCTTTCATTTCTAGGGCACAGGCTTTGATATTTAAATTATTGTCTCGATTGGCAAGAAGCAATCATTTCTACTGAAAGTGATCGCTTCCACAGAAGCACTAATAAAAACCTTTCCTTGTGACAAACCTCTCGTCCTATAAATCCATCCCATCCCCAAATTACTGAGTCCATGTAAAAAAAAAAAAAGCCCATTTCCCTGGGGAGCGATTACGTCACTCTGTAACACACCAAACTCCCTGGTGTTTGTGAAAGTGGTGGTGGTGGTGGTGGGGTGGGGGCGGGCAGGGAAAGAATCAAAGGAAGACGGAGAAGCTAATAGAGGCAATTTGATTTCTGTTTAATTAATTCAGGATTACTTCACTTTCATTTTGTCAAGCTAATAACATACACGGTAGAGTGTCAGTAAAAATTAAATTATAAACTACAGTAGCTCCAGTGGGAAAACTGACTTTAGTTATGTTGTATTTCCAACATCCTTACCCTGGTAAAATACCAAATGCATTTTTTCTAGTATCCTACCAGCTTTCTATAATCTGCATGACATGTATTTACAGAGCAATAGTTAACATTTTGAGATTATACGTTAATAAATGAGTTGCAGTGATAGTCTTTCCTGAATGTTAAGCACCATGAGCTAAGTGCAGAAAACATTCAAGGTCAATGTCCCGTTTTAGACCTTTTCAGGCAGCTGTAATATTATGATAATCAAGCTTAAAATATTCCTATAGAAAGAGTAAATTAGCCTTTTCACTTGAAAGATGATTACGATAAACAATAAACCTAAGAGAGGACAAAATCCCTATTTTTAAAAGCCATAAATTGTTGACTCAATCATGTGTGTGATAGTGTTGTCCAAAATAAAGGGTAGCTTAACTCGGGGAGGAAAGCGGGGGGAGGAGTGGGGACGGAGCAGGAGCGGGAGTGGAACAAATATGACAGATTTCCCAGGAAGCAATACTTGCTTTGATACCAGCAGAGGGATCAAATTATCTATCTTATCCACACCATTCAACCTATAGTATATTTGAAGCTAAAAAACTGTATGTCCATGACATATCAAAAAAAACACAGAAGTATATTTTTTCCGGATGTATATGAACATCAACATTATTTGAAAGTTCTCTTTTCCTATTGCTTCTATGAAACTTTTTGTTCAAATTTTCAAAGGACCAGCAATTAAAAAAAAAAAGTGAGCTATTTAGCATCTGGTGTCCATATAAACAGGCTTCAAGAAATGATTATGCTTTTTTTGATCTTAGAACTCTCTGACATACTAAGGTTCCTTGTCATAACTGAATACATCTTGATAAAAATCTGCTTCCCCTAACCGAGGCAAATTAATTACGGCAGATGTGTGTGTCATGCCTGCAGAAGTCAGGTGACGGTAGAAAGCCTAGAGCTTGGTGGTAATGGTAGGCTATTCTGGAGTCACGCCTGGGGTTCAGATTCCAGTTATGAGGGCTGAGGCTTTGGAATTAGGGTCGCATCACCCACCTAAATCTCAGTCCCCTCAGCTAGTAAATGGCAAGAACAATAATAGCAGCTTTGTAAAGTTGTTATGGGGATTAAACAAGTTAAACCAGTTTGGCACAGTATCTGGTCCTAGTTGGGGGACCATGTAAACAGGTGGGCCAAGAACATTCTGGCTGATGCCAATTTTCCCAGCCTAATAATTTATGGTACTCAGTCCTTACACTCTCAAAAGTGCCTCAGTTTAGATACTACATTCTGCTGTCATCCTACACACAGTGAGCCCTCCATACATGTTAGTTATATTATTATCATTATTATTAATTATTATCATTGAAGCATAATTGATTTACAATGTGTTAATTTCTAGTGTATAGCATGGCGATTCATTTATATATATATATTCCTTTTCATATTTTTTTCATTATAGGTCATGACAAGGTATTGAGTATAGTTCCCTGTGCTATTCAGTAGGTCCTTATTGTTTATCTATTTTATATATAACAGTAT